TGATTCTTAAGACCGCAATAAGAAAACTAATATACAATTAGCACAATTTCGTAGTTTTTTATTATTAATTGTATAATAAGTTAACTGTCTGATATGTTACGGTATCAGTATAAGAATTAAAATTATTCATAAAATTGATTCTTATGACCGTAATAAGAAAACTAATATACAATAGTAAAACATTTTGGTATTTTTTATTATTATTTAAAATGTATTTTAGCTTATATCTTGCTGGCACTCCTATTATTACTAAGAACATGTCTGCAAGGGAACCAAGTGAGTGTGTGATGTACATTTTTAACCAACAACAACCAAAAAAAATGACTGAAGATTCCATAGCCTATGTGTACAAATAAAGTTTCATAATTTTTAATTGAGACAAGAAATGGGTTATTGAGAATGACAGGCAAAAACCCACCAGAATAAGTTAATTAATTCCAAAATAAAACATAGATATATAATCCCACCTTCATAAAACCCAAGAGAGAATTCACTTTTTTCTTGTCATATATTTCTCAACTCTAATTGCGCCAAGGAGATGCCTGCAGTCGATGTGCCTGCGCCTGACAGCTCATCGACTATGCTGGCAGCAGGGAGCTCCAGTGGTGAAGGCGTGGCGGGGGTAGTTCGCGAAGGCAGTCATGAAACGACTGCCGTTTTGTCAAATTCAGTCCAAGAAGACAAGGACGGCAGAGTTGATGATCTGGGGGACCGGAATTTATATGGAGGAAACCGATGGCCTCGCCAAGAAACCTTGGCGCTGTTGAAGATACGGTCGCAAATGGATGCTGCTTTTCGTGACTCTAGTCTCAAAGCTCCATTATGGGAAGATGTTTCAAGGTCAATTTAATTTCTCTTGTCGTCTTGATCCAAAAAAGTGAAAGCTACGTAGTTAGTCTAGGTTTAACTTTATGCATCTCAGGTCGATCTTCATGCTCTTCTTCTTCTTCTTTTGTTTTGTTTACTTGTTTCCGTTTCATCTTTTTGGTCAATTTTTGTTTATGTTTTTCGGTTAGCTACTTACAGATTGAGTAAATGCGCTTAATCACCGGAGCTACAAGCTTTCACAAATTTTTGTATTTTTGATCCGTAAGAAGTTCATGCTTTTGCAGGCGATCTAGCTACTTTGCTCTGCTTGTTAGTTTTAGGCTTAAACGGGGTGCCTTTTTTTAAGTCTGACAAATTTAGTTTCATATGTTGGAAGGGTAATTATTTTCTTACCCTAGAGTTAGTTGTTTACTAAGTGATAATGAAAAAGCATATGAATTATGATTCAAACGATGAAGATGGGTTGTCAAGGTTTTAATATTAACCGGAGCAGTAGCATGCAACATGGAGATGAATGATTTTGTATGTGTTTTTAATTCAAGGATGAAGGATGGAACCAAATTTTGTTGTTTCATTATCCTATCTTGGTTTTTTTTTCCTTCAATTATTTAATGAGTCCATTCTTGTAAAAACTTCCCTCTAGTTACTGAGTTTACAACAACAAGATTAATAAAAAATAAAATTACAGCAGCTCATTAGCTTTTTGGAATCTAATTTATATTATTAATCTCTGCAGGAAGCTAGGTGAGCTTGGTTATTACCGAAGTGCCAAGAAATGCAAGGAGAAATTCGAAAACGTTTATAAGTACCACAGGAGAACCAAAGAAGGCCGATCTGGGAAACAAGAAGGAAAAACTTATCGATTTTTCGATGAACTGGAAGCTTTTGATCAACAAAACAATCACCCTTCAGTTCCACCAAAACCTCAAGTACTCTTGTGGCCCAATAACAACCACCACCATCCAAACAACCCAACTGTAGTGTCTCGTGGGATCACTTCTGTTGTTCCTCTTTCCTCAACACCAAACATGATGGCCACAACAAATGGTTCTCTAAATGGCTCTCACATCTCACCCCCACCAATAAATTCTTTGCCACCACAAGTTACAAAACCTGTGAATCTCTCTCATCAAAACCTTAATGGTTTCAAGCCAAGCTTGGCAACAAGCAATCTGTTTTCGAGTTCTACTTCGTCTACCGCCTCAGATGAAGAGTTTCAAGTTCAACAGAGCGGTAAGAAAAAGAGGAAGTGGAAGTACTTCTTCAGAAGGCTGACCAAAGAGGTGCTAGAAAAGCAAGAGAAGCTGCAGGAGAAATTCTTAGAAGCTATAGCGAAATGTGAGCACCAACGAACGGTGAGAGAAGAAGCTTGGAGAATGCAAGAGATGGCAAGATTAGATAAAGAACATCAAATTTTAGCCCAAGAGAGATCTTCAGCAGCAGCAAAAGATGCTGCGGTTATTGAATTCTTGCAAAAAGTTTCGGGACAACAAAATGTGACGAGTAATATTCAAGCGATTGAGGTCAACCGCACAATACCATCTCGGCCTCAGCCATTGCCAGTACTAATGGCACCACCACCTCCAGCTCCGGTGGCGGTGATCACAACAAGTTTCGAGGTTCCAAGACTGGATAAAGGCGATAATTCAACTATTCCTCCAGGGTCTACAAGATGGCCAAGAGTTGAAGTTGAGGCTTTGATAAATCTAAGGACATGTCTTGATGTGAGGTACCAAGAAGCTGGGCCTAAAGGGTCTCTTTGGGAGGAGATATCGGCGGGGATGAGGCGGCTTGGATACAATAGGAGTGCAAAGAGGTGCAAAGAGAAGTGGGAGAACATCAATAAGTATTTCAAGAAGGTGAAGGAGAGCAGCAAAACAAGGCCTGAAGATTCAAAAACATGTCCATATTTTAACCAGCTGGAGGACTTGTACAGAAAGAAGAACATGAATAATTCTAGTCATGTTGGTTATGTGGAGAAACCCCTTCCTCAAGCAATATTGCAGCCATTGATCAAGGTCCAGCCAGATCAGCCGGTAGTGGAAGCTATCGAAGGGGAAAACGGGGATAAAAATGAAGAAGACGAAGACGGAGAAAGTACGGAGGAAGAAGATCATCATCTTGATCAAAGCAATGATGATGATCAAGATGAACAGATGGGGATAGTGACCAATTACAAAGAGTCATCAATGGAGATGGTGGAGTCATGATGAGTGAGACAGGATAGCGCAAGTTTGTTAATTTTTCAGATCCAGTTGACGTAAAATGTCAATCCCAAAACTGTCCCAACACATGACTGTAAAGGCAAATACACAAAAAAGAAAAAAGAAAAAAAAGAATAATGTTTTTCTTTTTTTATCTTTTATCAAGTCAAAAACTTATCTCACAGTCTCTCTCGATCAATAGTATGGCAGGAAGTACAATCAAGCATCAAGTGGGTTTTGTTTGCAGCAAAAGAATGATCTTCAGTAAGGGCAGTGTTTTAAGGTGGAGAATTTTGAAATCACAGACCCAATTAATTAAGGTCTTAAACCAATGGGTTGTAATTTTAGTGGGGGAGAGAGAGAGAGAGAGCTCGCGTGCAAAGAATAAAAGAAGAAGTAGTTTTGTATTTATTGTTATGTATCTTTGTGTTAATAGGGAGATGGAGATTCCCCAATCCTCATGGTAAATAAAGTAAGGTAACCAAAGTTGTATTTTTCCTCGTGTGTTCATGTAAATGGGGGGGAATTGGTTACTTTTTTCCATTTGAATGTGTTTTGAATAAAACAAACACCATGGTAAGACTAAAATACTTGTCCAAATATATTTTTTTTTTGACCTTGTCACTAACATTATGAGAGTGAGAATATATACTAACATTTGCTATTTAAGGGTTTTTGATTGGGAATGCAGAAATTAACAATTCATGAGTTTCCTTGTTCTGGATATGTAGTGAGCTTAAATTGAGGGGGACAAAGCAGTGAGCCCTTTCCACTTTCCAGGAGGTGGCTTCTTACAGCATGCCAGCATCAGCTTCCTTTTTTAAAAGGCCCTACCACCATATGGAAGGAATCTTCTGTGCTCTCAAATAATAATTCTTTAAATTATATATCAATGTATCCACATCTGTTGACTTCCCCACATAGTGACATAACCGTTTTCCTCATCGATCCTGAATCTTGATCAACCAACACATCATGTTGTTAATTAACAGGTATGGAAGGGGCAGTAAAAAGGAAATGCACAACTTATTTTGGTTAAGAATTAGAACTTCGGGTTTCTTTAGAGATCTTTCAATTTCTAAATCCTAATGGCCTGTTTGGTTCCCAGATTAAACTTTTTGTGAATAAACTTCCTATGTCTAATTTCATAAGATTGGAATGGAGGATGTTCATTCCCATATTTAGAAACGTTGAGAAATAAGGATTGAAAAGGCTGTTTACTCCTATTCCCATGTTTGATTTGTGTAGTATTAGGAAAGAAAGATTGTTCAGTTTTCCAATAATATAGTTAACTTTTTTTTTAAAATAAAAATTAATATATTTTATATGCTTGCCATACTTGCAAAAACAAAAACAAAAGCTCCCATCATGTGGCCAAATAAACAAAACTTGGAACAAATTAATAATAATGTTCTTATTAACCAAACCCATATATATCTCCTTCCATTAGGGGATTTCTCAAACAATTTAATTTAGGGGAGTTTTTTTTTTTTTTTTTTTTTTTTTTCAACAATCCAAACCGTCTATTTTTCAAGTCTATATTCATTGATCATCCTTGCAAAAAATCAGAAAAATTGAAAATCATTAAGGCATCTAATTGAGATCAACAAAATCAATGAATATGGTGCTTCAAAAAAGTACTTAAATTTCAAAAACTTAATTGAATGGTCAAATTATAACGGATTCAAGTTATTTTTTGTAGATATGATCTTTGAATGAATATCTACAAAATAAACCGTTTGGATTAGTGAAATATAGTGTGGAGTGGGCCCTACAAGGGTGTTCGTCAAATAAACTTATTTGAGGATCCCTCAACAGAAACTATATATATACAAAGTGACCAGTCGGGCAAGTGCAACAAAAAGAAGATAGTTAAACAAAACCAATTATTCTAAATAAGAAAGCACACTACAAGAGCTGAAAAAATAAAGGAGTTTTCATATACTCTGAGACACCGGTAGGAGACCCCTAATCTACAGCATCTTTGGCATCCACCCGATCAGCCACGCCTTCAGTAACTCCACTTGTCTGCTCCACGACACCCGCCACCATCTCATTAGTTGCGCCCTCCTCTGCTTCATCCTCTTCGACTACCGCCTCTTCGGCCATATGCTCTTCAGCTCCCTCCACATCCACAGTATTGGCTTGCTCACTTTGAACTGGGAGCAAGTCAAGGCAGAGCGCCTCGATGTCTTCACCTCCAATGCCATAAAAGGGAGCAGACTCATTTGTGTAGTCCAAGAGTAACCCAGCTTGTATGTATCTGTGATAGCTTCAAGCTTGGATGTAACACCCCGACCCCAAATTTATCCCATGTTTCAATTTATTTAAGTGGAATTAAGAATTTACCCGTGGGATAGGGGTATTTTAGTCATTTTCTTACCCGGAAGGAATTTGAGAATTCCGGATGTACCGTTGCGTAGAGCACGGCGAGATGAGTTCATAGACACGTAGTGGGCTCGAATCGGAGTTGTAACGAGAAAGATATGATCAAAAGAAGCTCAGTGGCATAATCGTAAATATTTGGAAAATGGATTTTTGGTTAAAAGACGGAATTGCCCCCGTCTCACTCACTCTCTCTCTCTCCCGCGCGTCCCTCTCTCTCCTCTGGTTCGCGACGGCTAAAACAGCCGGCCACGTTTTGGCCGGCCGTGCTCTCGTCCGGCCACCAAAGTCGACGGGGCCGGTACCAAAATGACCGGGCCGCCGTCCTCTTCCTACCCCGGCCAGGTCCCGCCGCCAGCCGCCGTGATTTCGCCGGAAAACGAGGAGAAAAGCTCCGGTTTTGACAGAAATTCGCCGGCTTCGTTCTCCGTCGTCCGGCCACCGATTCCGGCAAGTGAGGTATGGTTTCTCACCTATTTTCCGAGCTCTAGCTGCTTGTTGGGTAGGAATTGATCGATTTGTAGCGTAGGCAACTCGATTTACGAATTGGGTTTCGGCCGAATTTCGGGATGAGATTCCGGCCACTTCCGGTCAGTTTTTGGGGTACGTCCAAAAACAAAAGTGACTCCAAATTAGGTGTTTTACCCAGGGTAGGAGTTTTGAGCCGTGATTTGTGGTTTTTCCGGCGATGGGTTATCGCTTTGGACACCCACGCGCTGCCGGCGCGTGGGCGGCGCGTGGGCATTGTAGTTGAGGGGCATTTTTGTCCCATTGTGATCCTCTCGATGTCACGAGCGCGTAGGTGTGCTCGGATCTCATTTTGGATACCGTTAGAGTTCCGAACAGATATCGCATATCGCGTATTTTCCGGGTTCGCTAGGTTTGGACCGTTGGATGGTCCTGAAGTTATAATATGTTGATCTAAGTATTACCAGGATCGTGTAGGATTCGACGGATCGTAAAACGGAGTCCCGGATACTCTAGAAATGCCAACCCTGGGGTTAGGGTTTTAGTAACCATCCGATCCTGCGGTCGTGAGCGATCCGACCGTCCGATCTGGACCAAACTTGCAGGACGTGCATCCTAGAGCTTGTAGAACCTATAGGAACTTTCGGATCGGAAATTGGAGGTCGTGGGCCCTGCGGCTCGTTTGACCGGTGGGTAGTTTGACCCTGGGTTGACTGTGAGACCTTTGGGATAGTTCTACCTTCTCAGGAGGGTTAGAATGACCTTAGTGACAGGTCTTGAGCGTTGTTGAGTTAAATGGATATTGTGGGTTTAGGATATAAATTGGTGAATTTAAATGTGGGAGTTTATGGAATGTTTTATTGGTTGATGTTATTGTATGATTAGAAATTACTTGATATATTTAATTGATTGTGTGGATGTATAATGATATATAAAGGAGATTGAATGTTAGTTTACAGTGCTATACGCACTACTCCACGTACCCCCCATATTTGAGGCCCAAGTGATGGTATGATGGCTGGTGAGAATGTAGTGTGAGGTCGCACGCGTCTTTGGATTAGCCGGCGTGTTGACAGACCCCGTACGTGGCCGGGTGCGTCCCGACGTATGAGTGGGAGATATGATGGTATGATGGCTGGTGAGAATGTAGCCAGGCCCAGTGTGAGGTCGCACGCGTCTTTGGATTAGCCGGCGTGTTGACAAACCCCGTACGTGGCCGGGTGCGTCCCGACGTATGAGGGGAGATATGATGGTATGAGGGCTGGTGAGAATGTAGCCAGACCCAGTGTGAGGTCGCACGCGTCTTTGGATTAGCCGGCGTGTTGACAGACCCCGTACGTGGCCGGGTGCGTCCCGACGTATGAGTGGGAGCTATGTGATTCTGTTGGGTGTGTTGTGATGGATAAACCCGAGAATGTATGAATTTATATGGATGTGATGGTTTAATTGATATCAGGAGCCAGGATTGATAGGAAAGAGCTACGTGTGGCTTGATCCCTTAGTAGGGTACGTAGGCAGCCTGGGATAGCGCCTAGGTGCAGCCACGACCTAGACACCACTTAGGTGGTTTTATCGAGTATGATGCGGACCTCGTGGTTGGTCCCGAAACTTGGTTGAATTGAGGCTTGTCCGGTGGACTGAGTGAGCGAATGTGTGCATAGATAGATTTTGAATTGGGTATGTGCATGTTTGGTGCATGGAGTTATTTTAAAAACAGTGTGGGCAGTTCTGCTAGAATCACTTGAAGGCCGGAGGCCATTTATGTAAATTGCATGAGATTATATTGTGCGTGCTGCTGGTTGGGTTATAAAATGTGTTTCGTGGAAATTTTGGAGAATGTTCAATTTACAGGGGAGACTCTGCCGAAATTTTGGCAGAAAGTCTTGTACCCTAAATCCTCTCTGGTAAAGGAGGACATAGTTTTAAGGAGTGAACCCGGCGTGGGTGTGATGTCGGGGTCTCCGCAGGGTTCGTCTCGGGTTCTGGGAAATTCGGGGCGGGTCCTGTCATTGGATTTTTCAAAAGTCTTGTGATATGGGCCAAATCAAGCTAGAAGCTTGTCATAACTGAGGAAGATGTTAGTATTCTTGCGCTCAAGATGGAAGTAGGCATTTTTCGACTAATGAAGTTAGCAGCAAAAGAGCTCAGTTCAGAATCTTTCTCAGCAAGGGAACTCTTCAGCTCATATATCATCGCCCTCAATTCAGACATCTTCTTTTTATAACGGATTTGCTTGGCTGAGAGCTTGCTAGTCAAATCAGCATTCTTCTTCTCCAACTCACTGAGCTGAGCAGAAGATGGGGCAACAACAAATGAGTTCCAGATAGTCTGAATAGAAAAAAAAAACTACCCTTTTTTTTGAGCAAATAAACAGTCGCTTCCCTTTGTTTTTCTAAGGAAAGACTTAAAGGTATTAAGATCGACAACCTGATTGATATGATCAACCAGTTTGACATAAGCAGACGAGCTTGACAAGAAGTTCATCTCCAGCAGATCAGACATGCCCGCATCCTCTGCAGGGCTAGACTTGTCCACCTTGGCATCAGCCACTGGCATTGTAGAGGAAACCTTCACTCGGGCAGATGACTTTCTTGCTTTCTTAATCCCTGCCATCCTCACCTTCAAATGAGTCAACGATGCTGAATCAACTCAACGCTTGATTGCTCGTCACTCAACAGCTGGATTGTGATGGTTGGGCGGATAAGCAGACCTCCCAGTTTGATCTCTATCCCCTGACTGGTGTAGACAAGTCGAACCTCATAGAGGAATACTAGCATCTCTTTACCCCTTATCAGGTGAACTAGTTCTCGAGCGGACCACTTCACGAAACAGATCACGGTTTCCAAACTTATCAGTATGAGGCTTGAGTAGAATGTCCTGAATGTTTCGCATACTGCCAACCTTCTTGTTGTTTACGTCGACGAGGTGCTTAACCCTAGCAAATGAAGGGAGAGCAGCTCTTACATGTGTATTCTTTGTAGATGAGAGCTTTGGCTTCTTCCTCAACAGAAACATATCATTCACCTGTGAAGGAGCAGCTTCATTTCTTGAAAACTTGACATCAGCCCTAATTTTTTAGAGGGGTTCGGCAAAACAATCTTTCTATCCAGCACGCAAACCATCAGAATCTGGATCATTCTGCTTATTTCTCTCAACATCATGGGCAGGGGGGCAAACCACCAACTTCCTCTCGATACTCGCTCAATAGTTAGCGCCACTCCCGAAACCTCGTGGGAATGTTTAGAGCTCGAGCAAACTTAGCCATTTATGGCTTGAGATCTAGCCATTTGCAGATGTCATTCATTGCGAGTAGAAAATAGAAGTTAGTCAGTCACATTTCAAGGAATTCAAATAAAAAGGAAGTAGATCAAAACAACAAAACGACGTACCGTTACAGTAGGTGATGGGAACAAAAGGACCATCGCCAACATCGTCTTCCCACCGTCTGCTAACTTCTAACACATCATCATGCCACACGTGATCTCTTTGGATGAACTTGTCAAACAGTTTGGCATGGCAGATGTGAATTTGAGCATACTTCTCATAGCGCATTACTTCGAAGAAGTAGAAGAACTCTCGCACCCTTAGCTCCAACTTGAAGAAACGGCTCAAATTCTCAAAACACATGATCGCCCGATAAACGTTGGTAGTATACTGACTCGGAGCACACTCCATAGAGAAGAACACCTTCTTAAAAAACTTGGATAGCGGTAACGTGAAGCTTAAGGAAAAATAAAAAGGATGGAAGGTGATGATCCTAGCATCTAGATCATTCGCATCCACGCAAGGCTCATCATCAGTCAAAAGCTCTATCAGCTTAACATGCACATAATTAGGAATGACAGAGGCATAAGTACCCCGCCACTTTTGGAATTGAGCTTCAGACGTCACACAGTGTACATTAGCCATAAACATTTTCTTGGCGCGTTTGGAACCTGCCCACAGATACAAAGGCACTTGAGAGCTCAGTAACCAAAAAAAAGAATTTTGAAATGATGACTCTAGACAAAAAAACAGAAAAAAATAAGCAACAAACAAAAAAAACAGAACCAGAGCTAGCACCAACAAACAGACAAAAAAAAAGAAAAAAGAAAAAAAAAAAAAAAAAAGAAAAAAAAGAAAAAAAAAAAAGAGTGCAAAGCAAGGCCCATGCAGTGCACCATCCACACCTCCAATCCAATCGACCTCATGATACATTGCTAATGTATTAGAACCTCTTGCTCTAGCCTGGGCCCGTATTGTCTGCCCCAGCACATCACACCCGACGCCCCAAGATGCAGCCCAGGTCCCCACTGCAGCAGTGAGCAAGGTTGCAACGCAACCAGCTGACCCCTATGTCGGCCACCAACGACCACCATCACTCCTGCTATCTCCGGCTGCTAGGTCCTACCAGCTGGTCCTCACCACGAAAAAGAAAAGACGAAGAATAAAAATATATATATGTGCTCGACTTACCTTGGGATGCACAATAACTCCTCTCTTCGATAGGCAGTACAAATTCTCCAGTATCTCTCTCAAGCTTAAAAGTAGATAAGTAAAGTTTGCAATTTGTTGAAGAGCGAAGAGGAGCCCTACATTCATACAGGTTGGGCATCCTAGGTCAAGAAGGAATTGCAAGTCCATTCCTACTAGGAACCCAACTCTAAGAGCACCTCCAGTGCACAAGCCCTGCTAGGGCAACAGGCCCCCGGCCAGCCAAATCCAACTCTAGCGCAGCCAAATGAGCCTCGTAAGGCCTGGATCCTACCAGTCTTGGAAAGCCCACGTCAGCGAGCATGAATCAATTTTTTTTTTACCGTTGGTACAGAATTTCACTCACCAACAGTAAAAAAAAATTTGATTTTCGCTCACTGACGTCAGCGTGACGTCATTGCTGACATGTCCCAACGGGAATATGCCACATGGCGCTTCCTGGACACTCCGATGCAATTTTTTCCATAAATCCGACGGCCTTGATTTTTTTAATAAAAAATACCAAAAAATTATGGGATTTTTCCCTATAAATACCTAACAATTTTATTCACTTTTCACACCAAATCTTCATACAAACTCATCTCCTTCCAATATTTTTCACTTTCCACACCAAATTTTCTACTACAAAATTTCATTTGTGCAAAATATAAATGGCCTCTTCCATCGAAGCTGGAGGGTCGTGGACAAATGTTCGAAAAGGTCAAAATCTTGGCAACGAGGTAAAAAAATAATAATTTCTGTTTTATTCAATTTAATGTCTTTATATATATATATATATATATTTCTTGCATTTCCAATTTCATTTTTTAATAGATTAGTCAAGGCAAAACAAAAAAGAGGAAAACCATTACACATGGCTCCTCAAGTGAACAATGCCAGCAGTCGTTCAAGTGGTGCGTTCCGTGTATGAAATAATGGCACTATTACATCATCTGAAGGAAAATACTCCCCCACGTCGTGATCCGGTGGAACCGCCTCCGCCAATGATTGAGTCGTTCTTGTACTCCATTGTGTCGGACTATGAGGACCGAGAATATTTCAATTGTATGATGAGTGAGTAGGTATTTTAATTGTATGATGAGGACCGAGAATATTTCAATTGTATGATGAGTGAGTATGTATTTTAATTGTATGATGAGTGAGTAGGTATTTTAATTGTATGATGAGGACCGAGAATATTTCAATTGTATGATGAGTGAGTAGGTATTTTAATTGTATGATGAGTGAGATGTGAATTTTATAATAAATATGGACACGTGACAACCGAAAATTTTATTTGAAAATTTTATTCCGAAAATGTTATCTGAAATTTTAAGTGAGAATTTTATAATAATAGTGACACGTGACAACTGAAAATATTATCTACAAAGCTTATCAAAATTAATGGTTTAAGTATAAAAATAGAAAATAGGTCAAATTAATAGTATTTTCCCTACTCTTGCCCTTTGGGGTGGAACCAAAAAAGGCAAAGCTGCCACTATTCACTTGAATAGTGGCAGCCCTTGCCTTGCCTTTACTTTGCCTTAGCCTTTTGGGGTGGACTTGCTCTAAGAAAATTCAAAAGCCCACTCCAATTGGAACCCAATATGCAAAAGGAGTCTAACTCATTGAAGAAGAGCCCAACACAGTTGGAGAGCAAAAATAATTTCATGTCCTACATGCCACACAAGCGTCATGCAGAACGCTGGGGCATTTGTGGGAACAAATAGTTTCATCTCCAATCACAAGACGCCATGTCGATAAGAAGAATATCCTTAGGTTAATAATTAGCTCCTTTATTTGGTCAATTAATTATGCTAAAAAATATGGATAATATCTTAAATATGGGATATTATATTTATTTAATAAGATAATACCCAAATGTAGATATTATCCTAACTAAGAGGTTTGTCATCAACAAATTAGGAGATTTGATCCCAATCCAATCACTAATGGACTCAATCTCTACAATTTGGGGAAGAATAACTTCTTCCTAATAAGAGTTTTATTCTTTGCAAAAAACCTATAGCCTCTGAAGCTCCATAAATCATGGCTTCATTATCATCAAGGTAATCCATTTCTACTGAGGAAAACCCTACACACACACACACACTCTCTCTCTCTCTCTCTCACATCTTTATTTCTCCTCTCCTCCGTCTTCCTCGCGTCCACCTCTCTTCTCCTCTCTCGTCATCTCCTCCATTTTTTCATCCACAAGACTTATAAAAAAAAAAAAAAAAAAAAAAAAAAAAAAAAAAAAAAAAAAAAAAAAAAAAAAAAAAAAAAAAAAAAAAAAAAAAAAAAAAAAAAAAAAAAAAAAAAAAAAAAAAAAAAAAAAAAAAAAAAAAAAAAAAAAAAAAAAAAAAAAAAAAAAAAAAAAAAAAAAAAAAAAAAAAAAAAAAAAAAAAAAAAAAAAAAAAAAAAAAAAAAAAAAAAAAAAAAAAAAAAAAAAAAAAAAAAAAAAAAAAAAAAAAAAAAAAAAAAAAAAAAAAAAAAAAAAAAAAAAAAAAAAAAAAAAAAAAAAAAAAAAAAAAAAAAAAAAAAAAAAAAAAAAAAAAAAAAAAAAAAAAAAAAAAAAAAAAAAAAAAAAAAAAAAAAAAAAAAAAAAAAAAAAAGGTTCACGCCCAGGTCACCACTGCAGCACAAAAGGTGAGCAAGGGTCATCACGCCAGCTGAACCCATAATGTCGAGGTCACACCAACAGAACCAATAAACTCCTCGCTATAAAATTTTAATCCCCGAGCTGCTAAGGTCCTAACCCAGCTGATACCCTCACCGACGAAAAGAAACAGACTAAGAGTAAAAATATATATATGGTGCTCGACTTACATTGGATGCACAATAACATCACTCTCTTCGTTGGCAGTACAATTATCCAGTACTACTCTCAAGCTTAAAGTATATAAGTCTACATGTTTTGCAATTTGTTCAGTCGAGCAGAGAGGGAGACCTATTTCATGAAACAGGTTGGACGCATCCTAGGTTCAAGAATGATTGCAGTCCTCTCTCTAGGAACCCACCTCTAATAGCTACCTCCATGCACAAGCCCGCTAGGCAACAGGCCCCCCGCCATGCCCAAAATCCAACTCTGCGCAGCCAAATGACGCCCTTTAATGGCCTGCTGGATACTTACAATCTCGAACCTTGCCCCACGTCAGCGCAGCGAGAATCATCTCTTTATACCTGTGGTTACCTGATTTACACTCCCACAGCCACAAAATGATTTTCGCGTCACTGACGTCAGGTGACCTCATTGTGCTGTGCATTCCCAACCGGGAATATGCCACCATGCGCGCTTGGACACTCACCGCACTGCCATCTTTTTTTTATAACCGCCCTTTGATTTTTTAATAACAAACACCCCAAAAGTAGGGGATTTTTCCCTTAATACTAAAATTTATTCACTTTTTCACGACCAAATCTTCATACCAACTATCTCTCCTTCCAATATTTTTCCACTCACCCAACACCCAAAATTTTTTTCTTTTACTGAGGGGTTCATTTGTTCCAAAATTAAATGGGCCCTTCCTCGACGGAGGGTCGTGGACAAATGTTCGAAAAAGGCTAAAATCTTAGCAACGAGGTAAAAAAATAATGTACATCTGTTTTATTAAATTTAATGTCTCTATATTATTATATTATATCTATTTCTCTGCATTTCCAATTTCATTTTTAATAGATTAGTCAAGGCAAAACAAAAAAAAGAGGAAAACCATTACCATGGCTCCTCAATGACAATGCCAGCCAAGCAGCGGCAGTTCAGTGTTGCGTCCGTGTATGAAATAATGCAATCTCTTACATCATCTGAAGGAAAATACTCCCGACTCACCCCGGGTGATCCGGTGGACCCCGCCTCCGCCAATCGAGTATAGTCGAGGGTCTGTGGCCACATCTCCATTGTTTTCCTTACTATCGAGGACCGAGACTCATAGTCAATTGTATGATGATGAGTAGGTATTTAAATTGTAGATGATGTGAACCCGTTGGAAATATTGTTCATTGTATGTGCAGTGAGTATGTATTTTAATATGTATCGAATGAGTGTTGATGTATTTTCAATTTTTATGATGAGGACGCCCGAAGAATAGTTGTCAATTGTATGATGGTTCGTCGTCTAGGGTATTCATTCAGTGTACTGACAAAAATGAAATGTGAATTTTATAATACATATGGACAGCGTTGACAACGAAAATTTTATTGAAAATTTTTCCGAAAAAAAAATGTTGGTCTGAATTTTAAGTTGAAATTTTATAATAATAGTTGACATCGTGACAACGTGAAACTAAATTATCTGACAAACTATCAAAATTCACTGCTTTTATAGTCTAAAAAACCTCAAAACATTCAGTGTCACATTAATAGTATTTCCCTTACTCCTTGGCCCTTTGGGGTTGGATACCTAAAAGAGCAAGCTGCCACTACTTCACGTGAATAGTGGCCAGCCCTTGCCTTGCCTTTACTTTGCCTTAGCCTTTTGGGGGTGGACTTGCTCTAGAAAATTCAAAAGCCCACTCCAATTGGAACCCAATATGCCAAGAGTCTAACTCATTGAAGAAAGCCCAACACAGTTGGAGAGCCGAAAAATACTTTCATGTCCTACATGCCACACAAGCGTCAGGCAGAACGCTGGGGGCATGTGTGGGAACAAATATTTCATCTCCAATCACAAGACGCCAGTCGATAAGAAGAATATCCCTAGGTTAATAATTAAGCTCATTTATTTGGTCAATAATTATGCTAAAAATATGGATAATATCTTAAATATGGGATCTTATATTTATTTAATAAGATAATACCCAAATGTAGATATTATCCTAACTAAGAGGTATTGTCATCATCAATTAGCGAGATTTGATCCCAATCCAATCACTAATGGACTCAATCTCTACAATTTGGGGAAGAATAACTTCTTCCTAATAAGAGTTTTATTCTTTGCAAACCCTATAGCCTCTGAAGCGCCTATAATAATGCTTCATTTATCATCAGGTACAATTTCTACCTGAGAAAACCCTACCCACAACACACACCTCTCTCTCTCTCTCTCTCTCTCTCTTCTCTCTCTCTCTCTCTCTCTCTCTCTTCCTCCATTTTTCTCCACACGACTTGGACCACCCACCCGGCTCTGGCCCCGAATCTCACCCTAGAAAAATCTCCGTACCCTTTTAAGCTATTATTCACCTAGATTCAATCAAACTTACTTAGGCATAGGAGGGCCTTTGGCCAACACCCCCCGGGTGTAGTCTATTTACACCGGTCTTTTTTTACAGGAATCGAGGAAGAGAGAGAAGTTAGTTCAAAGTTGAAGGATCTTCAAGCGATATTCTTGCGTGAATATTGAATACTTGCACAAATAGACGTCACATCAATTAAAATTACTTAACATTTTCTTTTCTTTTATGATTTATTAACACTTAAAAAAAATTGTTAATTAAACTTTCTTTATTAAAATACACTTCATTGATTTAGTTGACGTGACATATAATATGGACATGCTACATCATGTGGTATAGAAATGTGGGATACAAATGTGATAATTGTAGCATTACTCTTAATATTTAGCGATTGAAACCAGCAAGTGGATTGAAAGTTGAGTCAACCTTTAGATAGTGAAGCATAATGTTATGTTTTTTAGCAATCATATTGCATCAGGCTGACTGTGATTGTCCTAATTTAAACTTGATGGTTTATAATAATGTCCTGGATATATAATGAGACAAGTCATTTTCACACATCACACATCTACATAGTACCACGAAAAGGTAGCCTGTTTTGATCTTATACCGCGTAGAAGTGGCCGCTTGCTTCTAATTATGCACATCAATTTATATAAAAAAATATTAGTTCGATGCCTCAAAGTCATCAGGTTTAATTGTTATATGCATATTATGTAAATAATTAGATGCCTCAAAGTCATCAAAGTTGAATTAAAAACTGGTCTAAGCATCTACCTGAGTAAACTCTCTCTTATTGCTAAAATGATTATGGTCTTGATTCTTGAGGTAAAACATTTTATGCTGAAGTGACTCTTGGATAGCATAATTGATCAATTTTCATTTGGTCAATCCTTGGTGGAGTGAAGCTATTTTATATGTATATATAAAGCTAGATGGGATAGAGTTGCCAAAAATTCTCCTTCAGAATGACCCTATTTGATTGGAAGTATGATCTGCAACTCAACCTGAGTTTGGGGTCCCAATTAAGCTATGTATAGTGTTGCCTCTTATTTGACCTACATGCACTAAATTGTGGGAAACAAGTAACAACCTAAATATGAAAATATTATTATAAAAGAAGGCAAGCTCAGAAACTGTAGGCAGAAAATGATATGAAGTGAAAGGCTTGTTAGCATTAAAGAACATGGAAGAATGCTAACCTTTTGTATTAAAAATATTGCATTATTGGGACCAAAAACGACCATTTTAATTATAAGGCCAACTTCTTCTTTTCTAGAAATTATGGGATTGCATTTATAATTCGGTTTAAAAAGTCACTAACCATAAAGGGCCTACAAACTAGCCACAATGGACCATTACAATATGGAGCAATCTAACATCAAAATTAACACTATGGGACTCCTCTACTAACGATCATGCAGGGTTGAAGAAACTTTGACATGCATCTAAACTAAGAGTGCAAACTCATAACAAACAAAAATTGATAAAGCTTCAAAAAAATCAAGCCATAACAATACAAATAAAGCTCTCATAAAGGAGAGGTGAAAAGCTCTCCCAAAGAAGATGTGAAAAACTCTCACAAAAGGATAGGTGAAAACTAAATAGAAAACCCCAAAAAGTCTATGCGACTTATTCTAAACTGAAGAAACCACAAAAAGGACGGTGAAGAGATACGACCCTGAAACGCAAGTGGAGATCTGATGTTGAGACCCATTCGCCTACAATGAGTGGAGGAATTTTTTACAAAACAAAGACAAATAAGGGAAACCTTCTGTCTTTGAAATTGGGGAAAAGAGGAAAAAGGGAGGGAAGAGAGAAGGGGAGAGGGGAGGAAGAGAGGAGGGAAGATGAGAGGAAGAACAATGGCTTCCTCCCCCCTCAAAGTGAAAACGGGGTGTAGAATATTTTTCAGGAGAGAGGGGGCTAGGATTTCGTAATTCTTTTCTTTATTTTTCAATTGTAATAAGGCCAACCATTCTTACTTGAATACCTCTTTTCATGAAATAAATTTTCTTTTTCTTTTTTTCCTTGTGGGGGTTGTGTGGGGGGTGGGGGCTTTTGATTGCAATAATTAAATTATCCTTAAGAGTATAACACCTTTTGTTATGTCCCACAACATATCAACTCAAATTAAACTCCTGGAATTAAACCCTTTAAGAACTCATGAACTTCACTACAATATATATCCACACACTCACACATCATAATGCTACTTGAAATTGCAAGTTGCAATGGAGCCTTGTTGTGGTCAGTTGGCAAGCCGCCTTATTATACTTGATCATGATATATGGTCTTCCACATTAATTCCAAAAGGTGAAGAATCTTACAGTACTGCAAACTACAAAATATAAATTACCCCCAAAATCCTTTATATAATAATATGATTTATGGGTTTGCATATGTATAGGAAATTATATATGAACAAGAAACTGTGGCAAATCTAGAAAAATATGAACAACTGTTCACTGCCGTCGTCATTATTTTGAAGCCAAGTTTGGTGTTCGATTCAATTTAGTTTAAACTGCAGCCATCAACTCCATATTTGGCTGTACATGTGGCTTCGATTATTCCTTGTCTTTGATATCTTAAGCTCAATCGTATCAAAACCCATTTCGAATTTCAAGCTTTGCAAATAGCAAAAACTACGTGTGAATATTAAAACAAATGCGCCAATGGGCATCTTTTTTAGTTTTTGTCAAAGTTAGAAAGGGGTAGGTGTGAAACTCACACACACAACACGAGTATCATGGAGTTTGAACTCAGGACCACTTGTAAGCACATCAAAAGTCTGAGCCAATCCAACGAAATGGGCATCTTTTAGGAGGAGCAACAAGTTTGTTGTCACCACATCCACTTGTCTCGCATAAACAGCACATACATACAATAATGAGAAAATTTTAAAATTAATTTATAATTAACTTCCACTAATTCAATCAATATAAGATTAATTAGTATGAATATTTGATTTCATCTATAAAATAATAATAATAATAAATAATATTTGATTAAAATAAGAAAAGATCAAATGGACGGCCACCACAATGGGTTCCACGTGTGGTGCATAAATATATTTTCCAGTTTCAACTGGAAAGTTCAGAAATATTTATCCATCCATGTCGGCGCATCGAAATTCTTTTTGTTACCGCTTTGTTGACAGCTTATGAACATCTCACAAAACTATGACACAAAAATAATATGATCGTTTGATTTCATAGAGCTTGCAGCAGCAAGTAATATTCTGCAGACGTGCAAGAGAACAGCTTGAAAAATTATTTTCTTACTCTTACTTGCTTGGTTAAAATGAGTTGGTCAATAGTCCAAGTATTTGCATATATAGGACTTTTAGATTAAGCTTCCCAACAAATCCCAGTCCCCCTAAATGGAATGTAGAACGTGACTGAATATCTTGCTATAAGGTTCATACAATCCTTCATGTTGTTTGACAAAACTTCTGTTGAATGACAAATCTCCAATCCACAATTTCTCCACTGAAGGGTAGTAATGTTAATAATGTCACACGTAAGATAGATGTTTATGTCGTCAGATTATTAATTTGTACCGCAAGCAAGAATCAAGATGATCGATGGTTCAAATTCACAATCTGATAACAAAAAGATTTATGTTATTAAACAATTTAACAAAAGAACATTTTTGTACAGATGTCCGTCGGACAAACTCGGACAATTAACTGATCATTGCTTAACATTTATAAACTCTCATTTGGAGTTGTCTTTGTTAAAACTTCACGAGTCCACAACTGAACGGTTTTGTGTGTGTATAATGAAAAGAAATATGTGTGTGTTCTAGTCTCACCCCTACACACAAAAAGCCAAAACTAAAGCTCTGTGGGATTTGAAGCTTCTTGTACATATGTGTCTATTTTCTTCAAGTTATTAAACTCCATGCAATTCCAAGCCCCCTTTTCCCACATGATCCATGGCACTTTCACGTTACCCTCCACTGGACAATAACAATAACCCATTTTGAGTGTGGGGAAAGCAAAATCCATTAAAATAAGTAGATCTTATATCTGGCCAATAAACTAATGATTAGAATATTGTTAAGTTTTTAGGTTTTCTTTCAAAACTTATCTAAGCATATCCACTTTTTGTATTAGTTTTATGTTATCTAATGAACTACTTTTTTGTGTGTGTACATATTATAGTGATCAAACAATTTCCGGTGGGCATGATTTTTTGTATCGATAATTTTTGAAAGATGACGTAAAATATAGACAGTTTTAATCGTTGAAAGAAATTATAATAAGGAAATTCTTAACATTGTGCACATAAGATGACGATGGGATCTTGACAGCTTTATCACTCAAAAGGATATACTGGTTTTCGTGACAGATTGAACAACAATAAGATCAAACACATCAATAGATATCGACAGAGTCTGTGGGTGAAAAATAATCTGATCAAATTTGACCTTTGCCAAATGGATTTTGCTTATTTTAAGGGGACTCTAAGCCTAGGACATGAGATGTGTTCATAGATACTTTGCTTGTTATGTGCATATGTGTTCTACTTCTTTATCATGACTCACACAGACAGATATATCATGTAACCTTGTGAAGAGGGTTTTCTACAGTCCTTTCCCCCAGATCTTAAACTTGCACTCAATCCACTAATTTAAATAGAAAACCCAATCTAATCTTCTTTGTTCTTCCATTTCCCTGCAAGTCATGTATGTAAAAACACATGGAAGCAATAATGAATTTGTTTGGCACCCCTGCCATTAATGTGTTTTCTATGAAGACTGCTATCAGAATATTCTATCATTATGAAACAAAATTAATGCTTCAAATTATGGGTCTAAGGCACAAGACAAAATCAATTTCCAAAACAAGGCACAATAAAAAATGAGTCTACGAGATATTTCTCTAATTTTTCATAAATAAGTTTTTTGTTTTGTTGCATAAATGACCTATTTACAAGATTTTACAACCGGCCAATACACCCACAAGAAAGCTGAGCCTAGCCACAACCATGTATCAACAAACTCATCATAAATATATTATACAGCGTCCCCCGTCATTCATGTGAGTCGAACATGAGACTTCCTCCAATCAAATGGAGACAAATACCACTAGATAAAGTTGTGTTATCATCACTTCTATTTCTATGTTAGATTTGGAAAATAAATTCAAACAAGAATTTGGCAATCCATAAGTTGTGAGATTGTTTGAAGACACAATATTTCTGATGGTTTTTTATGTATCAAAATTTGCCTAATTAACGTACGTTTGCAAGACTACAGCTATCACTTCTTGGTAAGGTTAACTGGTTCGCAAATGGAACCAACACCAATGAAAGCCATAAGAGTTTCTTTTGCATCAAAAGAACCACAATCTCTGCAATAAAGTGAATAATCGTTCCAAAAGAGATTGATGCTGTCACTTAAATTTGAGGAGGGAGAAAGACTTTTCTGCATGTATGGTGATAACATTAGCTTTTATGTCTTAGACTGTAGCATTGTGCAATAGAATATTTATTCGTATATATCCATATGGCCAGGCCAATCAATTTGTGGGGCACATCTTCGAATACCAGAAATTTACGGTATTTTCTTAATGAAGGCAGTAAGATCCCCAAAGTAGTATTCTACTATTACCATGAATGTAGGGTAAGTACTATTCTGCTATTGAGAGCTATGAATCCCCAAAGTACTTTTTTGGTTAAAAATGATATTTTACCTACAACAAGAGTAAGAATTGAACTACTACCATGAGTGTAGGGTAATACTATTCCACTTGAGAGAGCTATGAATCCCCAAATTACTTTTTTTTCTGGGTAAAAAAGATTTTTTACCTACAACAACAAAAAAAAGTCAGCATAACGGTCCTCTAACAAATGATTAGTTTTCTTTTTTAATTGTTGAGAAAGGAGTATACGAACTTAGAATCTCTTTCAAAACTGTGAAAGAAAAATACTATTAGACCGATATATAGTGTATACCTAGTACATGATTTGCAAATACTTAGACTACACTAGGAAATATTTTGTTAACTCCTCCCAAATTCCCAACTCGTCTTTGTTGTGGCCTAGACTGAAATTTTGGATCTCAAACTCCTTGAAGTGGACAATTCAAATGTTACTTAATCAGACCGACTCATCATGTGACCATATAAAAAACTAATATGTAGCTGAATTTCTTTAGAAAATGTATGGATATTGAGATGAGGCATCTAGCAAAGTGAATAAATGATTGAATAAACAAAAGGACAAGGTACAGGAGCGCATTAAACTATGAACCTTCGTCCTTTTCTGGTACTGACATCCATGAATTGAATTGAAATTAAACGACATCGACAGACAGCAGTGTAAATAAGTAAGGCCTACGAACCAAGGAAAGGATCGAGATTCCTTTTGGTGGACCCCTTTATATATGAAAGGCTCCATGGCTCCATGTGCTGTTGGCATAGTGTGGATAGGTTCTGTTGCCGTAGGGTTACCTAATTGTCCCCTCGTTTTAAGCTCCTGCACTATATATATAAATCACAGCCCTAAATAGAGGGTTTCCCTGTAATCTTCTGACTTGTCTGCAACACCATTAACTCAAACCCTTAACCTAATATGAGAGAGGGAGAGAGATTATTGAATCATCTCAGTCATCCCCCGTCTCAACAAGAAGAACTATCTAATCATGTTCTACTATTTGAAAAAGTTAGAACGCGTAACGGAATGTGATTGATTTGAATAATTAAACAGTGTTATTGTCATGATATATATGTTTTTTTTTAAACAGAGACTAGTAAGTAGTAATAAATTAAAAAAGTTAAAATTTATGCGAAAGAAAATGAAAATGGATTTGTTGCTAAGGAAAATTAAACAAATTAAGCAAGACAAAAAGACCACGACAAAGACTAAATTATAACTATTTCTCACATTTACACACCACCAATCCCCTGAACAAAAAAAGCAAAAGCAAAATTACAACACTAGTTAACAGTGTCTATTATTTGTTTTCTGGAACTTGAAGTTGATGACCCTTTTATCTCCTCTTCATGACCTTATTTATTTAGAGAAAAAAATAAAATAAATTATAAAATAAACAAACTATGATTTCACTGCCTATATCAACCCCTAGCTTCCCTCCTCTCTCCCTCCCTCACCATGTCTCTTTGTTTTTTACCTTTCTTTCCCAGTTTGTGTATACTTTCTTATCAATACTTCCACCCAAAATTCAGGACCCGCCAAATGCATTTGACCCACTTACCCGTCCGGAAGCCCTGCAAAACCTGACCCACATTGAGACCCACTTTCTTTCTTTCAATCCATCTTGGCCTTTTTCTCAACTCACTCAGCTGCGGCTGCACCCACTGGAGCTGGCTTGTTTGCCACTATCTCATAGTTCCCATCCCCCTCATCCTCCTCCTCATCCTCTTCATCATCATCATCTTCTTCTTCTTCATCTTCATCACCACCAATAATATTCTCCTTATCTTGATGATCATGATGATCGTCTTCTTGGTTCTGATGATCATGATGATGATGATCAATATCCATGTTCTGATGATCTTGCTGCTGCTGCTGCTGCTGCGGAGTAGGAGGTGGCCATTGCTGCTCTGGCCTCACCATCAAAGGCACTGAATTTTCGGGCTTAGGATTCACATTGTTGTGATCAAACTTGTTCCTCTCTCTATACAAACTATCCAGCTGGTGAAAGTAGGGACACGTCTTGGAATCCTCGGGCCTTCTCTTGTTGCTCTCCTTTACTTTCTTGAAGTACTTGTTTATGTTCTCCCACTTCTCCTTGCACCTCTTCGAACTCCGATTGTATCCAAGCTTCCTCATGGCCCCCGAGATCTCCTCCCATAGCGGCCCTTTCGGCCCATTCTCTTGGTACTTTGAATCGAGGCTCGTTCTTAGCTTGATCAATGCTTGTACCTCCACTTTTGGCCATCTTGATGAGCTTGCCGGCGAGCTCAAATTGTTATTCTCCCCATTGTTGTTTGGTTTCGGAACAAGGTCAAAATTCGTCACGGGCTGTTGTGGTTGTGGTTGTGGTTGTGGTGGGGGGTACAGGCTGCCGCGGAGGAGGAGGCACTAGTGGTGGTGGCTGTAGTTGCAGCAAATTGTTATTGATTTGTGATTGGCCCGGTGGCGGGGTTTGGTTTGGATTTTGCTGCTGCTCGGATATCTTTTGCAAGAATGACATGACTGCTGCGTCTTTGGCGGCTGCGATGGATCTCTCTTGGGCTAGAATCTCGCGTTCTCGATTGACTCTTGCCATCTCTTGCATTCTCCAAGCTTCTTCTCTCACCATTTTTTCGTGTTCGCGTTTCTCGATGGCTTCCAAGAATCTCTTCTGAAGATCCTCTTGTTTTTGGATCACCTCCTTCATTAGTCTCTGGAAGAAGTCCTTCCATTTCCTCTTCCTCTTCGCCCGCCCTTCCAAATCCTCGTCAGAGGAGGTGGACGAAGAGGTCGAAAGATCAGCGGATATATTTGGGAAAGAGGATGAGAAAGTGTTGTGATGATGATGATGAGGATTATTCGTAGGGTTTGTTGTTGTTGGCGGCGGTGGTTGTGGCGGTGGTGGAAGAACTATAGGGTTTGTTGGTGGGAATGAATTGGGAGCTGCGAGGTTGAGTGTTGGTGCGGCAATAGCTTGAGAGGACACATTACTAATTATAGGGTGTGGTGCATCTGATGATGGAATAGTACTTGCCATTGTTGCCATTGTTGCCGCCACCGCAGCCATTGTAGATTGATGATGAGGCTTTGCTTGATGATGGTGAGTAGTTCCCGGTGTGTGAGGTTGATTTTCGAGGGCTTCTAATTGATCGAAAAACCGATAAGTCTTGCCTTCGGACTTGCCAGTCCGGCCTTCTTTGGTTCTCCTGTGGTACTTGTAGACGTTCTCAAATTTCTCCTTACATTTCTTGGCGCTTCGATGATAGCCAAGCGCAGCTAGCTTCCTGATGAAAACAACAGTCCGCACAAAATAAATTAGCTCCATATCTGTTTGTACACTTGCCATCTTGAATTCAGCATCAAAACAAAGCATTGGAACACATAAAATACAAGCCAGCAACTCAGATATATATGCATATATATATACATATGGAAATTGTATAGCCTCTCTCCTGGAAATTGTATGACCAAAGTTGGAAGAGAATTAATTTATTCTATATTAATTTACTTGGTAAGATTGAAATTAAACCATGTTTGTGGAATTTATTCATTTAAGCTCAATAATATTCTCTGTAATATATGAAAAAGTAAAAATAAATTAATCTCAACTCCATGGCAATGAATTCCCATTGTTCATGCTGTAATTTCCCTCAGAGGAAAGACACTCAAAATTTTATAAATAAATAAAAAGATAGATAAATTACCCGAAAGAGTAAACTAGGTGAAGAGCTCGAAAAAGATCATAAGCAAACAAAAGACAGCGGAGAAATGAAAATTCATCAGTCCCCAGATCTCAAACCCCCATGAACACAAATTTAATAAGAGCTCAAAATTCTCACTCCAATTAATCACCACAAAAACAAAAACAAAAACAAAAAACACAAAATTAATCTTAATTAGCTGAGCTAGTATAGTAATTAACCTGGAAACCTCATCCCATAATGGACCTTTCACACTTGCATCACGAAACGCCACGTCCATATCAGACCGTATCTGCAAGAGAGCTAGAGTTTCTTGCCGAGGCCAACGGTTGCCACCAAAGCTCCTCTCACCACTCCCTAACAAATCATCCCCACCACCCCCACCTCTAAAAGTGTCCTCACCCGAATTCGAGCCACCACCGCCGCCACCACCATCGCCTCCACCGCCTTCGGGAACCCCCACAGCCGCTGTGGTGGTAGCATCGCGGCTGATGGCGCTCCCTAACACACTAGAGTCCCCCAGCATAGGACGACGAGTAGTCTGACTCTCTCCCTCCTCTTCAACTATCCCTTTTTCTCTCTCTCTCCCTCTCTCTCTCTCTCTAAAACAAAAACAAAACAATTACAACTTACAGCTGAGGGAGATACGAAAGAAAAAGAATAAAAATATATCACACAAGAGAGCGATGGTGAATAATTCTCTACAAGGGTTTTATGAAGATGGGTTGTAGGGTGAAGTTATTAATTTATTTCGGTGGGGATCTGCTTGTCGATCTCAAGGAAGTTGTTTTTTCATTTTTCTTTTTATATATAACATATATATATATATATATATATATAACTCCTTTTTTTTTTTCATCCTCTCTTTCTTTTTCCTGTGGAATCTTTTAGTCTTTTTTGTTGTATTTTTTCAAATTTGAAATAAATAAATACATTGCAGAAAAAGAAAAATACGTATTTTAAGTGTTACAGACATTTTTAACAGCTGCGCAAAGAGACGATGATGATAATACGTTGGTTTTTGTCTGTCCAGCTAAATTTAGTTAAAAGCCGGCCCATGTACGTCAGCTTTTTTTTATTTTTTTATTTTTTTATTTTTCCTTTTTATTTTTGGTGGAGATGAACAAGTGAGGCTCAGGCTCGTCTTTGCTTTTTGGGGGCTGTTTTGGATTTCAGTGGCCGTTGCCTACAATCGGCATGAAATTACTATTTTACTCCTAACGTGAGTCCCATTGACCTTTAATCATTGAAAGCTAATTTCACGTATATTTTATTGGATCGGTATATTAGAGATCTGGGTTTCTTTATGTAATTCATATATTTTTATAATTTAATTGTACTACTATCTTGTATTTACCAAAATTTTTTGGAAAAAAAAAAAAAGAAAAAAATTCAATTCACATCTGTACATAATTATGTAAGTGAGCCATCTTGTTTAAACTATACCATTTGTAACCAATATTTTATTTTATGTAAATTTACTTTGAATGTTAAACTTTAGAACCTAAAATTCTACAAAATAGTTTTTTATTTTTATTTTAGTATAAGGGATTGGGAGGAGGGGGGGTTTACACAAATTCATTGAGTGTCTAGAGGTTTCGAATCTCTAATCACATGAATGAAGGTAGAAGTGTACAACGAACTGAGTTATGTCCACAAATAAAAATGTAGAATTTTCAAAATTGTAACAAGAAAAGAATCCTCCAATTTTCAACTTTGTTGGGTGGAAATGGGACTGTAGTTTTTGTGGCGTAAGGGGCCTCTTGTGATGGTGACAAACGAAGTTTGACAAAATCTTGTTCTCACAATTGAGCAAAGAAAATTTGCAAGAAAAAGTTTTGATGTTAAAAGAGACATTTTGAGTAGTGGGATCCACTGTTGAATTGAATTAATCTTGGTTAGATGTAGGTCATGTTATTAGGCCAAGCCATTATGAAAAGAAGTAAATGGTGGCCAATTTCAGTTGGGTTATCAACCTACCCTAATAAATTGTATGGAATTTTCGATGGCTGTGATCTAATCATCACCCATGATGTGAAAATAATTGGGCATTATTGGGACCATTAGCTTCTTCTAGCTTTGTAATATAATGTATGTTTCTCTCTAATTCTGTCAAGATCAAGTTGTAGCCATACATATACTTTGTGACACGATTGTATACAAACGTTACGTTTCTTTTTCGTATTTTAAATTGCACTTAAACTTGAAAGTGACTTGCTTTTTGGGATAAGGTTGTTGTGACTTTCAAGCTTCTTTTTTCTTCTTGCATTTGGTGTTAATATGTAATAATGGATTAACATTTTAGACCATCCATGCTTTCATAAGATGTAATTAGGGATGAATGATTATATGTCATGTTAAGAACTCACACGTTAAACCATATATGTATGTTTAAGTATACGCATAATAAATGATTATGGTTTATAAATCTGACAACAAAGCATGTCAAACTATATAACATTCGATATTGGAGGTATAATTTATTGTTAAAAATCAAAGTCAAGCAATGAAAAGTTCATCCTTGACTTGAGCAAATAGTTCCTCGTATGCTCACTCGATGAGCCAAAAGGTTGAGAAATGTATTTTTAATTGGGTTGTAGTTGAGAAGTTAGACTAGTATTTTCAAAAACAAGTTCGACGTTGAAATTTTGATAGAATTAACTCTTATTAGTCATTACAAATTAAGGATCATAATTGGATTTTGAGTCGAATCCAAAATCTCGAATACAGAAACGAATACTTTTAATCACTTGAGCTGAACTCCTTGCAACTGTATAATATTTTTGAAAATTCCAAATACTCTTTAATGCTCATGGTGGACTTTTGGATCAAATAAATGTTCTGAAAACAAAATGGAGAAGAACCCATGCATGTAAAATGCAATGGAGAAAATAGATCCACATAAATATATAAAATAATAAAATAATAAAAAATTGAAAGTTTTTACAATTTGCAGTCAATTCAGTAACTCAATTATTGAGTTGAAGAAACAAGTGGTTTTGCCCAGCACATATAATGCAAGTGAGTGGGGCCCTATTCAATCAATAACCAATTTAATGCACAAATCATCGAAGATCAACTTTTGTGTGCAAAGTATTTATACACTATCATTAGCTTTCACTACAAAATTAAATATGGAATTTACCCACCACATCCCACAAGGGTAAATTTTGGGCCACCCGAGTAGCGTGCGCCATCGGTCAAAGCAATAAAGGAGAGATAAAGGAAAGGGTATTTCGGTAAAATGAGGACGAAGAGGTGGGAGTGGCAAGTAAGGTAGACGTCAAGGGAATCAGCACCGTCTATATTTTGGTCTTTATTTGGGACAAGGGTGAATCTTACGTAACTGATGATAATGATAAAATTAGTTACGGCCTCCATAATAGTTAATAAAAAAATTGTCTGTCTTGATCCAAAAACTCTGCTTTCGATTTTATATTCACCATTTAAGCTATATATTTAATAGACAAGCAGAATATAAATTAAAAATTCAGAATATATAATTTTTTTATTTTTTTTTGTTTCGCCATGATTCACGACGTTGAGACTTTACTCACAATCAACCAAAAAGTTATTATTTATACAGTAACATTCGAGCACTAACCAGTTAGCAAGTTAATACGACAATAGTCATTTATTTTGATCCACTCCATAATATTTCTCATGATCATAACCATTCATTTCTAAATGCGGACACAATGTTGTCGGTAAACAATGAAATGTTCATCTCAATAACCAAATCGCTAAACGGTTTTTCAATTCGGGTGTATTTTTGCAAGGATGATCTTTGAATAAGGACCCGAAAATAAACCGTTTGGATTATAAAATTAAGTGCAGTAAGCTAAAACAAGCGATTAGCGCTTGATCGCTACTATTTTTTATATTAGTTACTTTCTTCACAATGTTAAACTTTATAAGAAAATTGATTAAACTAAGTAATGTATGAGTATGTGTTTAGACCTTGAACAAAATATAAGATCACATATATAAAAATAAATATTTTTAACCATTTGAGCTATAAAACACTAACGAACTCTTAAACTTTTACGCGTCTTTGAGTCGAATTCTTTTATCCTAATTGTACATCATAATCCAATACATTTACGCATTTACTATATTAGTAATATTGATGGTAGCACACCAGACGGTGGTTGATACTGGAACGCCATAATCGACTAACTAGTGACTGTCAAATCCAGTTATGTGATTGTATTTTATTAGAAAACAACGATGTGACAGAATACAACCGATTGCCCACAAACTCTCTCTTCTGGCAACGTGTTTTTGCCTACTTTAAATCAAGTTTGCTTCTGTTACAAATCATCAATTCGATTTACTGGGTTGTATAACATAAGATATATATATATATATATATATATATGTGGGTGTGCTTAGCTGGCAGAACATATCTCTAATGCGTAGAATAGTTGGATTGGAAGAAATATATAGATGCCTTGTACAACTTCTCTAAGCTATAGCTAGCTGGCCTCTGGACTGAGATGCCTTCCTCCACTACGCCTTGCCTGCCCACTCTTTTGTATTTACACTTCTCTCTCTCTCTCTCTCTCTCTCTCTCTCTCTCTCTCTCTCTCTCTCTCGGACATTTTTTATTTTGCTTTTTAAATGAGGGCATGCATCCATATGTGAATCATTTGCAGCAGCCTGCAGCCATTATATAATTAACAAAGCAGTCACAAAATTATGACGATCGTTGGTAATTAAGAACAAGTTGAGGACAATCACATATACCATCCTGGGATGCTACCTTGTATGAATAACATAGAGTAATAGATATCGAAATAATAATTAAGTTAACATTTCCTATAATGTTTTTGGTTATATCGGAAGAAATCGAACCCGAATATATCACAATCTTATATCAACATATCTCATCCTCCCCTATTAGGGTTAACATTTTCTCTAATTTCGAATATGAATCGAGAAAGATACATATATATTATAAGTCTGAGAAGAAAATATTAATTTGTATATACAAACGTGTATGTATGTGTATATGTATATGTATGTATACCGGGTTTAGAGCTGTCATTTATTTGATATAAAATGAATTACCATTTTCAGAGTTGTCTTTTACTGCAACAACTTGTAGGAAAAAGCAATCTAGCCTATCTAGGTGACTTGTGAGAGCAGCAACCAGATCCCGCTGCACAACTTCGGGCTTAAAATCTAACAAACACTGATATAACTAATAATATACAAGAACAGCAACAGAGTTGTTTCGATAAAATCCAACTTTTGCAGTTTGCTGCTTCGGTTAAATTACCAAAATATATTGTGATTGTAATATATTTATTCTAGTATTGTACCGACTACCTCACATACAAGACAAACATATGCCTGAAAATAGAAAAAAATAAAAGTTTTGGTGCAATGTCATCATTAATTTTTTATTTTTTTTATTTTATAGCAAAGTTAAGGAAAGGGGGGGGTTGGAACTCACTCACACACACGGGTACCATAAAGACTTGAACTCTTCGGAGCACACCAAAGGCCTCGAAGAATCCA